GTGACCAATTTTAAGATAAAGAAAATAGTCCAACAAGGACAGGGAAATAAGCAGAACGAGCTAACCACAAAAGCAAAGCTAAAAGTTGTTTCTTGAAGCTCAAAGGATACAAAGTGTTTATAATAAGAACAAATTACAGAAAATACTCAATGCCCAATAATCTAAACACCTTATTCAAAGCTAAAAATTGTTTCTTGAAGCTCAGAAGAATACCTAGTGTCCAAAACCAAAACAATACTTGATACCCAATAAGCTAAAGTTGAAATAAAATCGATAGAAGAACATGGAAGGAGCTAAAAAATATCATAAGTACAGCAAATTACACAAAATTAACGAGGGAAAACATGAGAACTCACAAAAGAAGACGAGTGGCTGCGCCGGAAAAAGCAATGAACAATACTTAAAAACAATTGAGACGAAGGAAGGAAATCTGCGACATTGCAAGGGCAAATTGGTCTTTCAAATTTGTTTTCTCCCAAAAAGACACGTGGAAATTTAAGGAAATGGGATGAGGAATTCATTCTTTTTTTTTCTTCAGTATTTTATATTACAAAGCGTAAACAATATTTATATAATTAAATCAGTTAAAAGATAATGACAGGTAATTCAATTAATAATTTTTTAATATAAATTTCTAATAAATAATAAATAAATTGCTATAACATGTTAAATTATAACACAATGAGTGCATATTGGCAGAAAAATATTGAAATAATTTGTCATCGGTTATAGTTGAAGTCATCTTGCCTTGTTCAAAGGGCCAATTTGAACATGTTCCCTAGCTTTTTTTATTTTAACTTTGGCTTATTTGTTCTGAAATATCATCTATAATAGATTTTGAGGTGGTACACTTCATCTCCGCTTTGAAGGAGCCTTGGAGCAACGATCAAGTTATTTCTGTATGATATATAGGTCACGAATTCGAGCCGTGAAATCAGCTAGGGTAGGGTACCTACATCACACCGCCTTGAGGTGCGGCCCTTTCCTAGACTCTTGCATGGCCACGGGATGACTGACTGATTCAAAAGGACTTTCACAAAGAAATTAAAAAGTCTATTGAGTAGCTGAGAAGAGGCAGAAGCAGATTCATTTCATATTGCCGATAATATTTCATATGTTGGAGATGAATGTCAAAAACCAGAATACAGTCTTCTGTTTTCAGTGTATTTATATATACCTGTTCTTTTCCTCGATATTTTACAAATTTAGGATAAAAACTTCACAATTTTTAAATTATCTGCAAGTCTGTAGTTATATTTTTGGTGCAAGGTCAAGCTGCCTTCTCAATTGCTTCTATGCATTCTGTGACCGATGCCTTGTTTGCCATTGCCGTTATTAAGGCCTCGTGAAGCTTGCTATTATTTTTCAGTAGTGAACCAGCAAACAGAACCTGCAAAATATTAACAATATAATGCTTGGATCCACTTGCAACGTCAAACCCAACAATGTGTATATGTTTGTGTGTGTTGAATTTTATATATGTTTGAATGTATTCGTCACAATATGTATGCAACATTAGAACTCACCGCCCATCTTGTAAGGTTTTGTTGTTGGTCTTTGCTAAGCGACGGCTTGCTCCTGTTTAGAAATCTCTGTGAAGACAACGAGCAAGAGTTATTATTGATTAATGGTTACAGAAAAAAGGGCAATTTAACTCCCAGATAGTGTTAAATTAAACCTGAAGAGTGAAAAGGTCAGCTGATTGACCAATAACTTTATCATACTTCAGCCCTTCTGCTGCCAGTCCGGCCATCGCTACCACTGCCAGCCTAACAAGTGCAGCTATTTGTAAGGATTTCATTTTTCCAGCTCATTTTTCTCTTTTTTAGACATCTTTATAGATGAACAACAACAACAAACAACAACAACATACCCAATATAATCCCACAAGTAGGGTCTGGGGAGGGTAGTGTGTACGCAGACATTACCCCTACCTCGTGGAGGTAGAGAGGCTGTTTCCAAAGAGCCTCGGAAACAGATGAGAATCATTGAATCGTAGGAAGCATGGATACCAAATTGCAGCTACTTATTCGTGTACTACTCATGCTAAGTATACATATGTGCTTTAAATTCCTTAACTTTTATCGTTGGACACGCATATCCGCCTATTTGGGTGAGCATATCCATCCACATGACGCCAAGTGGACCCTTTAAGTGTGTGTGTGTGTATATCAGTGAAAATTATATATAAGTAGGGTTTGGTTTAAGATGGATACCTGTCTAGCTCTTTTGAATCAAGCTGCCCGCTATAGATCAGCTTTTCCAGCCTTTCATCAATTAAATTGACATGCTCTTTCCCAATATCCAGTGAATACCCAAGGATGGGAAGACCAATTAGGTAGGCAACTGAAACCGACATTGTACAGTTGTCAAATCAATGCTTTTCAAACACCAGCTTAATAGAGTAGAAGCTGAAGTAAATAATACATAAAAGAAGGGAAGTGAACTCTCAATGATATCAAGAATGAGAGCAACACGAAGATTACATGCGCAATAGCAACAAAGATCAAAGCATTGATCTTAAGAAAAAAAATGCACATATCAACAGCATAACATAATCGGATGTAGAAAAGTGAGGACACCAAATTTACGACTTCCATCGATTCATGTTGACCCTGACATCTTCAACAATAAAACTTCTTGATATGGTAAATAGTAGTTCCCTAACACTAATTCTCCTCTATTACTTTGTTGCCGAATTAATTTCGTGTCCTGAGAACAGCCATTACTCATGCTACTTTAGAGCAGACTATTTTTTCTCATTGTGTCAAACATTGTCCTTCGACAGATTCTTATGAATTAGCACTTCCATTTTGAATATGAAATATATATACATATCCACCTTAATATATAGATAGATATACTTAGAAACTATCTGCGACTCTTAGTAAGTAAACATATGGAACTTCCAGATACTGCGATCATTTGGTCAAACTTTATAATGATAATATTGAAATTTGAAACAGGATGTCACCTAAGAAATGTGCTGCTTCGTGCCTGGCAATTCTCTCCTGATAATCAGGAAAAAATGATGAAAATCCATCAATGGCAGCCTGAAGGAGCCTACATAATGAATAAAAGAATGAGCCATAACGACCTGCATGCAGTAGAAAAAAGCTCAACTGAATATATCTTCTTCTTTTGATGGATATCTTAATTATTAAGGTTTCAAGAAGTAGTCATTATGAGAATCAGACGAATGCCAAACTCACGACTTACCCTGGGGAAGTACTTCCAATCCCCAAAACTACTAAAGATATGCTTCCTATCAAGTACGGAACAAAGAAACCCCAATCCTGAAAACATAAGGAAGGAATCAACAATGTGACCAGAGTGTATCTGTCAAAGTGTATAGATACACAGGAGCATCAATGTACTTCACGCACATCTGGGTGCTGGAGCAACACCAAGCTAAACATGACATAACAATCTGACAATTGGACTGTTACTTTTTGCAAATAACCCCAAAAGTATTCCTATGTTGACGCCATATACATCCATAATATTTTTATCAAGTTGGCCGAATAATAGTAATTCAGGTGCGACGTACAGGGCATGTTGCTTATCTGGCATAAATAAATAAAAGTTTCATCTATTTAGCAACATAATCTGCCCAGTGAAGAGATTTACACTATTACACAAGCGGTGAGTAGCTAGGGAAGAGCTGGCTTGAAGGGGTTTGGACCACAATCCCACCCAACGACCTCTTAGGATTGTCAGCTTGGGTGTGGTTCGGATGATAAACCGAGAGACTGTTATCCCACAAAACCAAACAAGGGATAGTTATCTAGATTGAATGTAACAATTGAACCAAATGAGAGACTTGGCCCCCTTATCCAGTGTGTCATTCGCATACCAAACAGGGAGAAAGAGGAATATAAACCAGAGTGTTTCTGCTCCATAAGAGGAATGCTAATTATTTAAATCCAACACTAAACTTCTGAAAAAGATAACACAATGAACAGAAGAAAAGTAAGGTAGTACGAGAAGTTACCCCAGGAAGTTGGCCAGCAAGAACGCCCAAAAACCCTGTTGTGCCTACCACTGTAAATAGAAAAGCTGCCTGTATTACTGAATGAAATCAGTATCAAACAACTTTAAAAACTGAGCCCAAACAGTAAAAAAAAAAAAAAAGACCACATTAATCATCTATTACTAAACTCCGTATATGTTAGATCAACGCCTCAATGGAAAATGCATCTAGGACCTGCTAGTTTACATTCTTAGAACCACTTTTTATGTTTCAAGTAACAGCAATTAAGAGTCATGAAATGTGTTTGAAGCGGATGGAAAAGAAATGTAATAAATTGCAGTCAGAAATTCATTTATGATCTGACATACGTCAATGTTACACCATAAGAATAAGATCAAACTATATGCATGCCAATACATGCCAATAATTAACCCCTTTAATCTGAAGGCCTAAGTCTATTAAGAAACTTATACAAGTTATTCGAGATATAACAATTGGAGACTATTGTACTCCAAGATTGAATATCATTCATTGAGTTCAACATGTCCCAACAATGAAACTTTGACTCAAATGTTTCTCACCCTTGAAAACATATAATTTGCCGAAGCAGTTACTCAGCAGTAGAACAACTCCCAGAATATGGAATAATATCCAAATTGAGAGCTGGTTTTGATTCTGGTGCTACTGCCATCAATGCAATAACAACAAAAATTTCATCAAGAAACTTACATCATTTCTGACACTTGGGATTGCAAGGTTCTCAGCATTCTTTATTCCGAGAGTTGTCAGCTCTCTAAGAGATGTCTGCAAGAGAAAATTTTTAAGACAATTACAGAGAATTGTGGGCAAAATGCGTGCAAAATAAAGACAATAATAAATTTCTTCAGGATATGAATGTTTAGACTATAGGAGGCTAATATCTCGATACCTCCTCCTAAAAACTTCACATTTCAGATGAAAACTGACCGTGCGTCGTGACACATATGGTTGAGAACTCCACTTTCTGGCCCAACCAACTTCAACTAGCTGATCAAGTGCCTCTTTGACAGCATTACTATCTTTCTGTAATGAGGAAAATAGGCGCATAAACATTTCAGATTGAAGACATTATGATAAGAAGAAAAAGTTAATGCTGGAAAAGATGACCAGAACACAGCTTTAGATAACACACTTTCTCCTCAGTTTTATGTGTACTAGTATGTTATCAGTTCCAAAGAGAAAAAAGCTAGCAAAAAACAAAAAACATGAGGCTATCTACTTATTGTTCATTCTTTAATATTGCATGTACACATTTCCAGATCTGTACATGAAACTTTCTCATCTACTGTTAGTCACTATGTACTTTAAGATAAGAACAAAACAGAAAATCTGTAGCAACTCAGACTATGACTGCTCACAAATCACAATTCAACTTGCTTAAATGAAATCAAAAGAATCCTCAGTAACCCTCCGTAAATTATAAACAAGGAAACAAACAGTAGAATCAAATATTAACCCCTAAACATCTTATCATACGCTAGAAACAACCACAATAATGATTGCCAAAATGTTGCAGTGGCATTTACTATTAGTATCAAGTGCCAACACTAATTGATCAAAAAAATCAGTATAACCTAGGGGATATAAGAAGCTTCTTAGTTCTGTTATAACTCGGTCTCTTTAACAAGATATGGAGTTAAAATTATTAATTTGATTTGTGTATTGTATATTTATAATAGCAGTAGTAAAGTGAGATTATTATGGTGACTAAAAATTTTTAATTACATATAGGGAAAACTATCATATCCAAAAAATTTGAATTGTAAAGTATATAAATAATAATTGCTAATATATTATTAGTGAAATGATGTTAAACGATTGAAATGTCTCGAAAGATTTCTAGTATAAAACTAAATAGATGGAGTAAGAAAATAGAAAGGAACAAACTAAAGCCCACAGAAAATGAAGCTTAGGGAATAAACCTTAGAAATGGCGGTTTGGAGGGTGGACAAATCAACACCAGGAGCAGCGGCTGAGGAGGAGGAAGCTCGAATTCTGAAGCTCCATTTTCCAAAATTTGTGGAAGAAGGAAGTGGACTGCTACTACATTGTACCAACAACTTGGACGGCGTCGTAAGAGAAGTGAAGAGAGATGCTGCAGAATTCGACATTCTCTCTCTCTCTCCTCTTGCTTCTCTTTCTTCAAAACGGTTGGGAATTGTTGAGGACACCAGAAGCTGTTGATAAGGTCTGGCGTGTTGCTTAAACGACCAGACACAGATTAGTACGAAAGGGTGTCTAACGGGTGGGCCGGGCCACACTGGGTAGAAAAAAGTTAAAACCGTTGGGGTTTCGAATCGGACGAGTTACGGGTTAGGGGTTATCGGGTTTAACGGATTTGAGTTTATCCGAGTAAAAAATAAACCGTAAGGGTTACGGGTCCAAGGGACCGGGCCGGGCCGGGCTAGTGTTTTTTTATTTTTTTATATTTTGTATAATTATTATAATTTATACAAATATAAAGTAAAAATATAAAGAATACAATGAAGATGGAAAAAAAATTGCACTTAGAAATTGCAAGTGCTACATTTATTTCAAAATTCAAACTTACAAATTGAAAGGTTTACATTTAACAACAAGTAAATTAACGAAAAACAGTAAATTCAAAGGTTTTGCATTGCCTTAAACTCTAAAACCTTAAAAAAAATTGAAATCTAGCCTTTAAATATGTTCGGGCCGGGCTGACTAACCGGTTTTACAGGGATTTTGGTTGATCGGATTTGACCAGTCCGGTTAACCGTATGAATTAAAGTGAACGGACCAACCCTCTAACCCCAGTAACCCAGCCACCCGGTCAGGATTTGACCGGTCCGGTTAACCGGATAAATTAAAGCGAACGGACCAACCCCCTATCCCAGTAACCCAGCCCACCCGACCCCCTAAGTACTGGGTTGGGCTGGTCCGGGTTTCAACCGGTCTGGTCGGGCCGGTCCCGAATCAACCCGGCCCGTTTGACACCTATAGTATGAATAGTTGCTTTTGCGCTTTTAAATTTGTGCTCTTTTTAATAATAGTGTCTGTAAGCACGTGATTTTTGCCCTATATGAGAATTACTCCCAAAAAATTCAAAAATAAAATGATTTTTCTTTGGTGTGCAATTTTGTGATATTTTGTTATATTTTGAATAATTATTGGCATTTGTCTGTGCGTGTTTATTTGCTAAATTAATAAAAAATACAAAAATATGTCGCATTTTGCATGTAGGATTTAATTCTACAATTGTTAGTAATTAAATTTGTTTTACAAAAATTAAAAATTACAAAATAGGCATCGTTTGCATTTCTAGCATTTAATGTCCAAATATACGATTTTATGCTTAATTAATACTTAATTGTGCGTTAATTGTTATTGGGAGTTAATTTGCGCTTTTATAACTTAATTTAGTTCTTAATAATAGTTTAAGTATTTTTATAATTTAGTTTTAGAAAAATAAAAGAAGAAAAGAGAGCGAAAATATAAAGAAAGTCGGAATTGGGCCTCTTCTTCAATTTCAAGCCACAGGCCCAAAAAATGGCCCAATCTTCCC